TACAACTTCAAGCTGGCAAGGATATCAGGACAGAAGGATGAGTGCCTATACCGCAGTCTGTTTAATAAGGTGTTGTAGTTGTACAACGCATTGTATCTTGTATGAAACTTCATTCTCTAGTATGGGATAACCGGGCACTTGAAGCGTTTGCTCGTCACGACAAGCACCGGGTTCAGACCCCTACAATCGGGTCAGCGTCTGAAGCCCATTACATTGCCTTGGCGGAGACCGTATATTTTTTTTATTTGTCTGAGTTCCTGGTTTTCAAGCGTTTAACCGTGGCAGTCAGCTGACAGTACTTGATATTACGATCGCTTCTGATGGACAGAAAAAGCGTTGGTGGCTTCCACTGGCCGGGCCATGTTGTCTGCTGATTGATAGCACTTTTGCCATTTCCATGTTACTTCTGAGATGCAGCTGTCATACATTGGAAAACTGTCAGAAAGTTAATACTGTAGCTATAACCAGAATTTGAAATCAATAGCAGCTGATACAGACAAGGAAGGACACATGTGCTTGAATCCACGTTTTATTTGAAACTCTCAAACAGCCACAACAGTGTGAGACTCGGTAAACAGAACATCACCGTTATTGCCTGATGTCAGAACAAGATGGAGACTAGAATCTGATGTTTGATAATAGTAATACTTATAATTGAAGTAACAAGGACAATAGATGTTGCAAATGGAACATATGATAGGACTAAACCATCCACATTGCAACTCAGAAAGTTATGGCGATGTGGAATTTTTCGCCGCCGAAATGTGGACATCAATTTACATAAGCAAACCGTCTCATTAACAGACTTACACTACTTGTGGGTTACACATACGCGGGTGCTAGTGCTGCAGTATTTCACAGAGGCACGATAAGCGTATCGGGTCACGTGGTTACGTCAAAATCACATTTTGCCATGCACCATGCCCACACTAACGTCAACTTGTCTTACAACTCTCATCGGTTTCCAATTGCGCAGATCGATGCTCATGCTGTTGATCACTGGATTGTCAGGCCCAAACTCGATTATTTACAGACCACCACCATATAGCTGTTATATTGCCGAGTGCGGCGTAAAACTAAACTCACTACAACTCTCCACATTGGTTCTCCAGTCGAGTCTGTCAGTTTGTCAGTTGTTTGAGGCCGGCCTCAGAAATATGCCAGCCATATGACTGCAGTTTGTAAATATTCAACTGTAATCTAGCGGTTGTTATAAGATGACACGGATCAACCAAGTCAGCTGATCTGATGACACGGATCAACCAAGTCAGCTGATCTGATGACACGGATCAACCAAGACAGCTGATCTGATGACACGGATCAACCAAGTCAGCTGATCTGATGACACGGATCAACCAAGTCAGCTGATCTGATGACACGGATCAACCAAGTCAACTGATCTGATGACACGGATCAACCAAGTCAGCTGATCTGATGACACGGATCAACCAAGACAGCTGATCTGATGACACGGATCAACCAAGACAGCTGATCTGATGACACGGATCAACCAAGTCAGCTGATCTGATGACACGGATCAACCAAGACAGCTGATCTGATGACACGGATCAACCAAGTCAGCTGATCTGATGACACGGATCAACCAAGTCAGCTGATCTGATGACACGGATCAACCAAGTCAACTGATCTGATGACACGGATCAACCAAGTCAGCTGATCTGATGACACGGATCAACCAAGACAGCTGATCTGATGACACGGATCAACCAAGTCAGCTGATCTGATGACACGGATCAACCAAGTCAGCTGATCTGATGACACGGATCAACCAAGTCAGCTGATCTGATGACTCGGATCAACCAAGACAGCTGATCTGATTACAAGTGGCTCATTCCGCCACGAACATTCAGAAGCCGAAGGATTTCAGGTCTCTAAAGAGTTGTTGGAAGGAGTTATTTAGAGATTCTTGTCCCACCACATCAGGCCACCTCGCCTGAGCTAATGGAGGGGATTTCCTCAGTGTCCAAAAATAACCTAAAATATGGATGTTATTTATTAAGGAATGCAGACATTCCATCCAAACTAAAACAGTGTGTTTTCACATAGTGAGTGAGTGAGTTTTAGTTTTACGCCGCTCTTAGCAATATTCTAGCAATATCACGGTGGGGGGACACCAGAAATGGGTTTCACACATTGTACCCATGTTGGTCTTCGGCAGGAGAGTTTTCACATAGCGTAATACAAGTAACAGCGAATCACCGAGCTCCACATGTCTAGAAATACAATACTGCCGGCTCAAAGTTCACAGAATGTTCATATTCATTTTCAGCTTCAAACGTTTGTGGGGTTCATACCAGTTCAAGTTTACAGGTTAAACTTCTATTTCAAGTCAATGACGTCGCCGTAGCCACCACTTTATGGCTGATGTAAGACCAAGGGACGCAACTCCAAATTGTTCATTAGAGACTGATGACGTCACAACAAACGTCACTCTACCCATGACCAGTTTCAATTAAAATAATTATGGTCAATGTTGAAAATGATTGTTATGTAACGATTTATGTGTCTGTCAGTATGAGCGAGTGAGTGAAATTTAGTTTTACTCCGCTTATAGCAATATTCCAGCAATATCACAGCGGGAGACACCAAAAATGGGCTCCACACATTTTACCCTTGTGGGAAATAGAACCCGCGTCATGGACGTGACGAGCGAACAACTAGGCTAGAGATGCCATGGTCTGACAGATGCTGCACGAGATGGCCTGACAGATGCTGCACGAGATACCATGGTCTGACAGATGCTGCACGAGATACCATGGTCTGACAGATGCTGTAAGAGATACCATGGTCTGACAGATGTTGTACGAGATGCCATGATCTGACAGATGTTGTACGAGATGCCATGGTCTGACAGATGCTGCACGAGATGGTCTGACAGATGTTGCACGAGATACCATGGTCTGACAGATGTTGTACGAGATGCCATGATCTGACAGATGTTGTACGAGATGCCATGGTCTGACCGTTGTTGCACGAAATGGCCTGACAGATGTTGCACGAGATACCATGGTCTAACGGATGCTGTACGAGATGATCTGACATGCTGTACGTGATACAATGGTCTGACAGATGTTCCACGAGATGCCATGGTCTAACGGATGCTGCACGAGATGATCTGACAGATGTTGCACGATATACCATGGTCTGACATATTGCACGAGATGCCATGGTCCGACAGATGCTGTACGAGATGCCATGGTCTAACGGATGCTACACGATATGCCATGGTCTGACATGTTGCACGAGATACCATGGTCTGACGGATGCTGCACGAGATGCCATGGTCTGACATGTTGCACGAGATACCATGGTCTGACGGATGCTACACGATATGCCATGGTCTGACATGTTGCACGAGATACCATGGTCTGACGGATGCTGCACGAGATGCCATGGTCTGACATGTTGCACGAGATACCATGGTCTGACGGATGCTGCACGAGATGCCATGGTTTGACGGATGCTGCACGAGATGCCATGGTATGACGGATGCTGCACGAGATGCCATGGTTTGACGGATGCTGCACGATACCATGCCATGGTTTGACGGATGCCATGCACGAGATGCCATGGTCTGACGGATGCTGCACAAGATGCCATGGTATAACGGATGCTGCATGAGATGCCATGGTATAACGGATGCTGCACGAGATGCTGCACGAGATGCCATGGTTTGACGGATGCTGCATGAGATGCCATGGTATAACGGATGCTGCACGAGATGCCATGGTATGACGGATGCTGCACGAGATGCCATGGTATGACGGATGCTGCACGAGATGCCATGGTCTCACAGATGCTAACACTGCATTACGCGATATGTTGTAATATATCAACTGGTTGTAAACTAAAAACATTTTCTGCACACACATCACTTTCAGGCGTGTTCGTTCATCGCTAAATCGTGTTTACTTGCAATGGCGCCCTTATCATGCGTTGAAATTGACATGACACACAATAACGCTATCAACTAGTCACACAACATCATTAATGAAGCCTAAAATTTAGCTGGCAAATGCTGCTATTGTCGGAATCGTCTGTATATTCAAGGGAGGTAAGTCTCATTGTATAAAGTGTAGGTCGCTTGTATAAAGAATGAGGTCTCTTTACGTTTGGCTCTTAAGAGTTGTCGCCCTTATCCAAAGTCACGCGTGTGCTTTATCATTATAAAGGAGGGCAAAAACGTGTTTGTGCGTTTATAGATTTACCGTGGTGGTGAGTGAGACTGAGCTAACAACACACGTGGGCGATGTTAATGTCACAGCTTGTACGGAAGACAATTACATAATAAAACTTTGAATCTCATTGTTATCGTGTTGTGGTTCACTACCCTCAGAATAGAAATGCATCAAGCTCCTCCACACTTATAATGCTGTAAACACTGAGCCCTAATATTTCGCGTGATATATGAGCAAAATCAATATATGGAATATTTACACAAACATGGAATAAATAGGAATGAAAAATATAAGCATACAATGGCAAGGTATAACGATATTGCACGTGTGTTAATAACAGCCGACAACAGGGGCTGCGGAGGAGAGGTACATGCAGCAGCCGCAGCAGCAGCAGCACTCGTCCCAGCTCCCCCATCCTCCTGACCCTTCCCCCTGACCCATCCCCTTGGAGGCCAGTCTCACCGTGGGCAAAACTAGGATCTTCTGTATCTTGAGTGAAGAATACACTTGAGAATACAAACAGGAATAAATATGTACAACGGGTTGTAGGGTGACCACCTCTTCTCCCAACAGATCAACTAACAAACTCTGGCACTTTTAGCACAACAAGTGTGTCTGATGGTTGGTAGACGCAATCAGGTCCCTACTGGAGCCAACCGGATCCAACATGACTGTAAGATAACAGGCTTTGTCTCCTGGTCCTGGAGAAAACAAGTCCAGCTGGGACTACATAAAGTCAAATTAGATATAGAATCTCGTGATTCCTTACTACCAACCAGCCAAAAGAATGTCTTTGTAGGATTTTGTGAAATGAATGTTTTAATTATTCAAATTATTGAATTATTCACACGTGACAGCGTGTGCACGAGTTATTGTTTAGTACAATCTGCAAACCGGACAATCTCACCTAGGACATCGCCTTGGACAATACAGGAAGAACATCTGTTGTTATTGCGACAAGCTAGATGGAATTATGCTTGACATTCATCAGACAAACATGTGTACAACACCCTACATTATACACACCAAACCTTTCAGTGTTGAGAATTATTATATGAATAAAATCTGATGATAACATAAACTCAAATCTGTGAACGAAAAATAACATCTCATTTAAGTTAATATTTCATGTCAATCAACATCGTTTTAACAATTTTCCCCTAAATCCCAGAAAAAATAGTCCCTTTTGTCACAGGAAAATTTGGTCAGAACACCCATGATGAGAACTCCTCAGATCTTCATGTGTTTGAGTGAGTCCTTGTGAAGCGGTGACTGGAGCTGGCTGTTGTCGTAGCTGAGGCTGGTGGCCTCCCAGATGGCGTCGATGGAGAGGCGGGGACATGCGACGCTGCTGACATCCACGGTGGACTCGCCAGGTTCCATGCTGCCGAAGAAACAAGGTTACAAACTTTTGATTGGTCAATGTACATTGGTCATTTAACTTAGGGAACTGTGTGAGAACTGGCAACTTGACGTCAACGTCAGGATGAATTTATTGCCAGAACGACGTGTCAGTAACTGGTGTAGGTAGGCTAGTGACACACATTTCAGCTTTATATCTTCATGTTGATGTCGAGGAAGAGGATTAAAATAACATACATACATGTATATGAAATATAGTGGTGTATATATACTAGTATAGACATTTTTTGTAGAAGCTGCACCAGGTTTCAAAACACAAATATCTGCTGCATTTTTTCAATGTAATACTCACGTCTACATCACACACCGATGTGAGCTACACTCTCACGATATCACACACCAATCTGAGCTAAGCTCTCACTATATCACACACCGATCTGAGCTACACTCTCACTATATCATACACCGATCTGATCTACCCTCTCGCGTTTATATCACACAACGATCTAAGCTACACTCTCACGTCTATATCACACACCGATCGGAGCTACACTCTCTACTGGCCGTACCTGTTGCCGTAACATTATATATAAGGAAAGCAATGAGTTATAAGAGCCATTAGCAAAGCTGAAAATATGACATTTAAGCCAGGGTAATACTCTCATCATATCACGGCTTTATTTAAAAAATAATCAATGCTTAAGACACGGTGAAGCAGCAATGAAAGAGTAAACCGTGTGGGTTTTTGAGGCTGTATTGTGTTCATCACCACAGATGACAAGTTCACTGATCATGTTGACAAGTTCACTTAGTTTATACGTGGTTGTCGAAGTAGTTCCTGCAAGATCACCCCGTGTACGTAGCTGTCAGTGTGCTTCCTGCAAGATCACCCCATGAACGTAGCTGTTTGTGTGCTTCCTGCAAGATCACCCCGTGTACGTATCTGTCAGTGTGCTTCCTGCAAGATCACCCCGTGTACATAGCTGTCAGTGTGCTTCATGCAAGATCTACCCCGTGTACATAGCTGTCAGTGTGCTTCCTGCAAGATCACCCCGTGTACATAGCTGTCAGTGTGCTTCCTGCAAGATCACCCCATGAACGTAGCTGTTTGTGTGTTTCCTGCAAGATCACCCCGTGTACGTAGCTGTCAGTGTGTGCTTCATGCAAGATCTACCCCGTGTACATAGCTGTCAGTGTGCTTCCTGCAAGATCACCCCGTGTACATAGCTGTCAGTGTGCTTCCTGCAAGATCACCCTGTGTACATAGCTGTCAGTGAGCTTCCTGCAAGATCACCCGTGTACGTAGCTGTCAGTGTGCTTCCTGCAAGATCACCCCGTGTATTGCTGTCAGTGTGCTTCCTGCAAGATCACCCCATGTACGTAGCTGTCAGTGTGCTTCCTGCAAGATCACCCCATGTACGTAGCTGTCCTGCAAGATCACCCCATGTACGTAGCTGTCAGTGTGTGCTTCCTGCAAGATCACCCCATGTACGTAGCTGTTTGTGTGCTTCCTGCAAGATCACCCCATGTACGTAGCTGTCAGTGTGCTTCCTGCAAGATCACCCCATGTACGTAGCTGTCAGTGTGCTTCCTGCAAGATCACCCCGTGTACGTAGCTGTCAGTGTGCTTCCTGCAAGATCACCCCGTGTACGTAGCTGTCAGTGTGCTTCCTGCAAGATCACCCCGTGTACGTAGCTGTCAGTGTGCTTCCTGCAAGATCACCCCATGTACGTAGCTGTCAGTGTGCTTCCTGCAAGATCACCCCATGTACGTAGCTGTTTGTGTGCTTCCTGCAAGATCACCCCATGTACGTAGCTGTCAGTGTGCTTCCTGCAAGATCACCCCACCCTGTGTACGTAGCTGCTGTCAGATCACCCTGTGTACGTAGCTGCTTCCTGCAAGATCACCCTGTGTACGTAGCTGTCAGTGTGTGTGCTTCCTGCAAGATCACCCTGTGTACGTAGCTGTCAGTGTGCTTCCTGCAAGATCACCCCATGTACGTAGCTGTCAGTGTGCTTCCTGCAAGATCACCCCGTGTACATAGCTGTCAGTGTGCTTCCTGCAAGATCACCCTGTGTACGTAGCTGTCAGTGTGCTTCCTGCAAGATCACCCCATGTACGTATCTGTCAGTGTGCTTCCTGCAAGATCACCCTGTGTACGTAGCTGTCAGTGTGCTTCCTGCAAGATCACCCCATGTACGTAGCTGTCAGTGTGCTTCCTGCAAGATCACCCCGTGTACATAGCTGTCAGTGTGCTTCCTGCAAGATCACCCCGTGTACGTAGCTGTCAGTGTGCTTCCTGCAAGATCACCCCATGTACGTAGCTGTCAGTGTGCTTCCTGCAAGATCACCCCATGTACGTAGCTGTCAGTGTGCTTCTTGCAAGATCACCCCATGTACGTAGCTGTCAGTGTGCTTCTTGCAAGATCACCCCGTGTACGTAGCTGTCAGTGTGCTTCCTGCAAGATGACCCCGTGTAAGATATTTATTCTACGTTTGTGGGAGTCATCTCATCATTAATGCTGACAGTATTCATTGTAAAGAATATTGGGGGCTGATAGTTTATTTTTAATTGTCTTCGATACACTAGTTAAATTGAAATTTTCACGTTCACGTTCAACTTCCGCAACAAAACAGTAGAAAGATAATTGACTTGGGCTGCAACGATGCATGGAACTATCGATGGATTGGAATTCTTGAGTCTCCGAGAGACTATCGCTGTCGCAGTTAGGGTGACTCCTTGAATTGTCTCATTTGAATTCATTTCCCAAATTAATGTATAGTTTCTACAAGTAAAAACAAGTTGAAGTAGTTTCAGTCTCTTTCTATAACTGTCAAGAAACTTAAAACCCAGATCAAGTATACAGTTAAAACATAAACTCAATGAACCTGCAAATCTGCACCCAAGCAATAAAAAGCACAAAATAACATTAACATTTAAAAATATATATCAATTACTTAACTATCACTACACACATACTATCGATGCATCGATTTTTTCGTTTCTACCATCGATTAATTACTATCGGAGACTCAACAATAGTTGATAGTTCGATGCATCGTTACAACCCTGATCGCAATAGTATGTTGCAATAGACTATCGCAATGTTTGTTTCCCCTTCAACAGTCAACCCTATAATTGTCGGAGCAGCGAATTTAATTGTTGTGTTTTAACCCCGCACTCGACAATATCCCAGCTAAATGAAGGCGGTGATCGCTCCTGGACCTGTGACTGACAACATGTACACGATATTGGTCGACATGCATGAACCACGCCATCAGGTCTGGCCGCCCGGCCCATTGGTCGCCTTTTACGCCAAGCACTGGTAGCTGGGGGGCCACGATTCTTGCCGCGGCTGCTATTTAAGAAGGTTATGTGTATCCGTAATGCTTGATTGATGCTATCTTACTCTTTGTGTCGTCTGTACTTCAAGCGTTTGAAATTGAATTTCTTGTAACTCTCGTGCATCCGGCAGTAGCAGCCCGTCAGCACGACTACGACGATCAAGATGGCGCCGGACAGAGTTCCGGCCACGATGTACAAGTTCCGGACGTGGTAGGAATGCTGGGAGTCCGAGACACCACGTGGTTTGCCCTCCAGGAACGGAGCGAACATGTCCACTGAAACATGGGAAGCGTATACGATGGAAGAGCAAGCCCGTGAATATTATTTTACCTTTACAAACAGTAATGTTAATTTGTATAAATGTACACATTGTATTAGTATACGAGCATGTTACCATCAAGACGTTAGTGTATCACGTGACCTGCAGAAACCCCGCTCAGTTGATAAGCGACTGTCACAGAGTCTGCTGTGATTGGGCACTTTCAAAGATTTAGAACAGCAACCTAGTGAATAGACTAACATGTTCAATAATCGATGACGATGTGAACAGATACACGTCCATCAATGTGGCCTAAGAACACCGCTACCTTAAAGTCTCTCAGTATCATCTGAGGCAAGATATACATTATACAGCCACGATTTCTGGTCCCTTGCAAACTGGCTAAATACATACACCACAAGCACATCCCCATCAAGCATATCACTGAAGTATTCCCCAGGTAAGCATGCTCGTCAGTGAGTTTAATGTCAGTCCTACTGATAGGTCGCATGGTATATTGCCCTGTCGCCATATATAGTGACGCCTGTGGACAACGTTGATGTCGACGTCAGCGTTGCATGGAGATAACAATGGCACAATTGTGTGCATCAGCAGAAAGCCCACGGTCATGAAATTGAGACGAATGATCTTTAAAAGTATTCTGTTGGGTTTTTTCTATACGAAAGCCACGCCGTATGATGAATGTAGTCTTAAGACCAGTTAGGAAATAATCATTGTGAAGGAGGAGAGTTGTGTTTTACCTTTGATGTCGCCGCCTCCATCCGTCACAGTATTAATACTCTCTCGGTGTCATGTATAGTGTGTACTGGTAGCCAGTGTATCCTTTCGTTAGTCAAAGGGTACGCAGTATATCATTCTTTACAGTGTTAGTGCAAAAGGGTCATCTAGCTAGTATATCATTCATGTACAGTGTCATCTAGCTAGTATATCATTCATGTACAGCGTCATCTAGCTAGTATATCATTCATGTACAGTGTCATCTAGCTAGTATATCATTCATGTACAGCGTCATGTAGCTAGTATATCATTCATGTACAGATATATCTAGCTAGTATATCATTCATGTACAGTGTCATCTAGCTAGTATATATATCATTCATGTACAGCGTCATCTAGCTAGTATATCATTCATGTACAGTGTCATCTAGCTAGTATATCATTCATGTACAGTGTCATCTAGCTAGTATATCATTCATGTACAGCGTCATCTAGCTAGTATATCATTCATGTACAGTGTCATCTAGCTAGTATATCATTCATGTACAGTGTCATCTAGCTAGTATATCATTCATGTACAGCGTCATCTAGCTAGTATATCATTCATGTACGTCAGCGTCATCTAGCTAGTATATCATTCATGTACAGCGTCATCTAGCTAGTATATCATTCATGTACAGTGTCATCTAGCTAGTATATCATTCATGTACAGCGTCATGTAGCTAGTATATCATTCATGTACAGTGTCATCTAGCTAGTATATCATTCATGTACAGCGTCATCTAGCTAGTATATCATTCATGTACAGTTATATCATTCATGTACAGCGTCATCTAGCTAGTATATCATTCATGTACAGTGTCATCTAGCTAGTATATCATTCATGTACAGCGTCATCTAGCTAGTATATCATTCATGTACAGCGTCATGTAGCTAGTATATCATTCATGTACAGTATATCATTCATGTACAGTAGTCATGGCTAGCTAGTATATCATTCATGTACAGCGTCATCTAGCTAGTATATCATTCATGTAGCTAGTATATCATTCATGTCAGTGTCATCTAGCTAGTATATCATTCATGTACAGTATATCGTCATGTAGCTAGTATATATCATTCATGTACAGCGTCATCTAGCTAGTATATCATTCATGTACAGCGTCAGTCTTCAGCTAGTATATCATTCATGTACAGTGTCATATAGCTAGTCATTCATGTACAGTGTCATGTAGCTAGTATATCATTCATGTACAGTGTCATGTAGCTAGTATATCATTCATGTACAGCGTCATGTAGCTAGTATATCATTCATGTACAGTGTCATCTAGCTAGTATATCATTCATGTACAGCGTCATCTAGCTAGTATATCATTCATGTACAGTGTCATGTAGCTAGTATATCATTCATGTACAGCGTCATGTAGCTAGTATATCATTCATGTACAGTGTCATGTAGCTAGTATATCATTCATGTACAGCGTCATCTAGCTAGTATATCATTCATGTACAGTGTCATCTAGCTAGTATATCATTCATGTACAGTGTCATGTAGCTAGTATATCATTCATGTACAGCTCATCTAGCTAGTATATCATTCATGTACAGTGTCATGTAGCTAGTATATCATTCATGTACAGCGTCATCTAGCTAGTATATCATTCATGTCATCAGCGTCATGTAGCTAGTATATCATTCATGTACAGTGTCATGTAGCTAGTATATCATTCATGTATATCATTCATGTACAGCGTCATGTAGCTAGTATATCATTCATGTACAGCGTCATCTAGCTAGTATATCATTCATGTACAGTGTCATCTAGCTAGTATATCATTCATGTACAGTGTCATAGTTATATCATTCATGTACAGCGTCATGTATAGCTATATCATTCATGTACAGCGTACAGCTAGTCATTTCATGTACAGCGTCATGTAGCTAGTATATCATTCATGTACAGTGTCATCAGCGTATGTACAGTGTCATCTGGCTATATATCAGCATGTACAGCGTCAGTGTCAGCTAGTATATCATTCATGTACAGTGTCATGTAGCTAGTATATCATTCATGTACAGTAGTTATATCATTCATGTACAGTGTCATGTATGTCATGTAGCTTCTCCCTGTCATCTAGTTTAGTATACACTTGTCATGTACAGTGTCATCTAGCTAGTATATCATTCATGTACAGTGTCATCACGTGTCTCCCTGTGGAGCTCATCATGTACAGTTTAGTCATCAGTGTCATCTAGCTAGTATATGCTTTAAACATATCTATTTTCAAAGAAAGGAACCGGATTGGTAAACAAGCATAAGCTTATATGAATACCGCTCCGTACAGCTAGTATATCATCCCTGTAGAGCTACCATTAAGTGCTACCTTCGTATAGCATCATCCTTTTGGTATAATATCTTGGTCCACAGCATCTTGTAGCCCGTATGATATATACTCTACATCCCTAGCTTCAGATACCAAGTATATATATTCCAGTATATCCTTAATGTATAGCACGATCCAGGCTGTATATCCATGTGTAACGCTGTCTGCATGATATATACATCACATACAGGGCTCTCTCAGTAACAGCTCTGTTTGTTTAACTGATGACTGTATAAAATGTATAAATACTTTAGTGTTATATTTTTCCTGCATAACGTTGACTGACGCGGGAACGAAGGTAAAGCTGTATAATATAGATTGATGTTTGAAGTCAGTTATTGCCGAGCGTCAGTGGAGCCAGGGTCAGCTTGATGTGTCGCGAGGTGGGACAGGACTAATTGGTAGCCCGCTGAATTCATAGGCAGGACTGCAATGTGCACAAAATGCTGAACTCGGTAGTTTTGCGCATGACTTTGTTACAAGCGTATGTTCATGGGAGTTGTCGATAGAAAGCCTAAAATATGTATGATGTTTTGGTCACAGACTCGCTAAAACGTAGATTTTTATCACAGTTCAAAAAGAAAACCTTTCTTGACTCATGTGAGGAATGCTCATGTTTTCGTCATCACAGAGGTCAAACGTTCTCCGAGGAAGACAAACATCCTGGTTGTCAGCCATTTGAGCACGTCCAATACGTCTGATACCGCGACTGTCATCTGCATGGAGGCAGTTAGGACAATTATCCAACCTCACCTTTCTCAGTTGCGTCCCAACATCGTTAGGTTACCGACAACCTTCACGAGACCGTTATGTAATACCGCGCACCTGACTTTCGAGAGCCGCACTGTCTCCATCAGAATCAGATTTGTGGCACCGTGAATCGTTCCACAACATGGTGGTGAGGCAGCTGTTAGGGACACTCTTCACCTTCACACCGGGAGGGGGACAAACTGGGATTTACGAGTGTCACCAGACCACTGACAATAGCAAGCTCAAATCGTCCCGTAATGTGAGTCTCTGCGCATATGCTTTTCTGTGGGACATGGAATTGAAGTTTAGTGATATAGCACCAGGCCGTGTGATTAGGTGCTCGAATTCAGTTGACAGCTGCTGATGTAAAAAATAATTTCCGACGGGTAAAACTCGACGTCCTACCTCTACAGTGAAGCATAGGCGGATCCAGAGGTGGGGTGCATTGAAACTCTCGTGAAAATGAGCTGTCCACACACGCACGCACACACACACGTGCACACCCTTTTGCAAATAGCTGCATCTGCCCCTGGTGAAGTAACATTTTCACCGCATCCTCAATTTCCCACCCAAACCGTGGACTCATTAAATCATATCATGTTAATCTTAAGCGAATAACTGCCTGGAGACATTTCGCTAAGAATGATTATGTCGGAGACATTTGAAAACCTTTGAACATCAGGTTAACAAAGAGGGCAAGATTGGCGGAGGCCGTTTTAATCTGTATTTATTGATTTATATAAATGCATATTCTGAGTCGGCTAAGTACATGGTGAATTAGTTTCATCAGATTTCAACAAATAAATTCTTTAATGTCTAGTCGTGACGTCACAAAGCCGGAGACCCCAAAGCACGTATTTAGATAGGAAATCTAAATGTCAGTACGGTGTATACTGCCATTGTTCTACTTACGTGTGTATTGGCAGTTTGGACCGGCATGCATTTCGTGGCACAGGCACTGATATCCGTTCACGTGATCACGACAAGTCCCGCCATTCAGACAGGGGTTGGAGGCGCACTCGTTGACGTTCACTTCGCAGTGGTGACCTGCACGACATCGTAACTCATTATAACAGCGTTTAAACATGCATGCACTTACAACGATATGTCTCTGTGTCTATATTTCTCTCTCTTTCCCCGTGAAGATCCGGGGTAGAATAAGTCTTCAGCAACCCATGCTTGCCACAAAAGGCGACTATCCTTGTCGTAAGAGGCGACTAACGGGATCAGGTGGTCAGGCTCGCTGACTAAACTAAACTCACACACTCGCTTTCCCTGAGCAATGGAAGTATGGAAGTGACGTAAAGTTACGGCGTAGAGAGAGAGAGAGAGAGGGACGGGCTTCACTCTCCGTGACTATGCTAACAGTGGAGGACGGTTCTTCATCTTCAACATTGTTGTTGATGTTTTATATGAAGCAAGTAACGGAAACGCTGCCGCTTAAAGCATCACATGAGTCTGTTGAAGATGTTGGAGAAGCACTTCCCAGAATGCAATATCCTGTGTCCGTCCGTTTAAACAATATTGCCGGTGTTACTGAGACGGAGTAGTGAGTTATGAAGCGTTGCGGGAGGTCGACTACTTCTTATATTTCAATATAATGCCGGTTTAGTGCAGTAATGTCCGCTGATGAGAAGGCTTCAAGATAAAGTGTAATCCTCAGCGTGTCCACCAACAAGTAGTCACGACCATTACACCCACTGACTTCTACTAGCGTCCTGACAACTGGTTTTATGTGTCCCTTTATAACTGTCGCCAGATCGTCGTCAGTCGACTGGCTGTGATTCCCGTCACCGAGTCGGTTGCTAACTGAAGCTACAGGCCTCTTATACTGGATCGTATTTCATATATCGCGATATGTGAAGTATGTTTGCCGCCATTAGCCTGAAGGGTCACGTGTGCTTTTCATGGAATATTTAACATCTCTCCCGGAATTGAACATGGTTCCCGGATATGCCAGACTAACAAAACACAATATAACATTTCTTGTAAACAACGTACAGGGTCAGATTGCTGCCAGTCATTAGGTGAAACTGTCACCATAAACGATGCAAAGTATTTTTAAAACGTATTGATAAAAGTCAGCCATGACTGCTAGTGGCCATAATGAAATACACAACACACCTGCTCCTCCGAAAGCACTTGTTCCATGAAGCTTATGCTGTATATGCTTGCTTCCATCAACGGTGACACTCCACTTTGTTAAAGAGTTTCCACGAGGTAGGCACAGCGACCACACCCAGAAACAGATTTACGCCCATTACCCAGCATCCACACAATTAGGGCTCCGTCTCGTTTGGCAATATATTGAACTTTGACCTTGACATTTGTACGTCGACCAAACTATACGTTGATAGTTCTTATGGGCGTTGCTGAATCATTTGGGCGCGAAACGTAATGAAAGTTGTTATATGTTTTGGTTATCTATTCAGAACGTAACGTATGCGGCATACAACAAGAACACTCACTTCTGGTCTTGTGATTTGCCACGAGAGGTAGCTGAAACATTCCCAGTCTAACTCAGAAGTAACACTTTTGCTTTCTTAGTAGTCTTCTTGTGTTAAATTGGCAACTGTGTTATCGCTAAGTTGCTTCATCTGAAGGAACTCGAACAACCATCCACATGAACATGAAATTCAGGGGGTGATGCTTCTGCATGATGATGCCATCCCAGTCACAAAACGCTGACAATATACACACTCTCTTTGTCGGCCCAATCCTCGGCGTCGTATTTAAAATAAACATGTGCAAGTCTACATTTTCCGCCAATGAACGAATTCCTTCCAAACTTCAACATTTTCTTGAAACATCATCCGATTCAGAGGAAGAGAGCACAACTGTCGCCTCTACTTAACAATACACCGCCGTATGACTGGAATATTGCTGAGTGCAGATTCAACAACAAACACATCTTCCCAACACTGATCGCTTTCTCTTGGTGTTCATACAGTTAACAGACAGTTTGTTCCGGCACGTGGTGCTGCGTGAACACTGATCACATCAAGGTCAAGGCCGCCGACTTCACAACGGTTACATCTGACACTGAATGATGTTTACAAGTATTTGTTCACATGTATTTGCCCGTTGAATATCTTTCATTTATTGTTGAATCAGTTTATGCCATTACTTGGAGTTGACGTAAAATCGCTGGGTGTTCAGCAGTTCCAGACTGTAATCACGTGATTCAAGTCTGTAAGTCATGATCCTCTGAACATTATTGACTGTAGATTCATTAATTAACGGTTCCCAGTGTAAAGGGATAATACGTGGTGGAAGAGGTGGAGGGATGGGTTGGGGATATATACGTGGTGGAAGAGGTGGAGGGATGGGTTGGGGATATATACGTGGTGGAAGAGGTGGAGGGATGGGTTGGGGATATATACGTGGTGGAAGAGGTGGAGGGATGTGTGTGTGTGGAAGGGTGGAGGGCTATATACGTGGTGGAAGAGGTGGAGGGATGGGTTGGGGATAATGGAAGTGGTGGAAGAGGTGGGGATATACGTGGTGGAAGAGGTGGGGATATATACGTGGTGGAAGAGGTGGAGGGATGGGTTGGGGATATATACGTGGTGGAAGAGGTGGAGGGATGGGTTGGGGATATATACGTGGTGGAAGAGGTGGAGGGATGGGTTGGGGATATATACGTGGTGGAAGAGGTGGAGGGATGGGTTGGGGATATATACGTGGTGGAAGAGGTGGAGGGATGGGTTGGGGATATATTGGAAGAGGTGGAGGGATGGGTTGGGGATATATACGTGGTGGAAGAGGTGGAGGGATGGGTTGGGGATATATACGTGGTGGAAGAGGTGGAGGGATGGGTTGGGGATATATACCTGGTGGAAGAGGTGGAGGGATGGGTTGGGGATATATACCTGGTGGAAGAGGTGGAGAGGTGGTGATGGATGGGTTGGGGATATATACGTGGTGGAAGAGGTGGAGGGATGGGTTGGGGATATATACGTGGTGGAAGAGGTGGAGATGGGGATATATACGTGGTGGAAGAGGTGGGGGGATGGGTTTGGGATATACGTGGTGGAAGAGGTGGAGGGATGGGTTGGGGATATATACGTGGTGGAAGAGGTGGAGAGGATGGGTTGGGGATATATACGTGGTGGAAGAGAAGTGGAGAGGGATGGGTTGGGATATATACGTGGTGGAAGAGGTGGAGGGATGATGGGTTGGGGATATATACGTGGTGGAAGAGGAGGGATGGGTTGGGGATAATACAATTGGAAGAGGTGATAGAGTGTGGAGGGGATGGGTTGGGGATATATACGTGGTGGAAGAGGTGGAGGGATGGGTTGGGGATATATACGTGGTGGAAGAGGTGGAGGATGGGTTGGGGATATATACGTGGTGGAAGAGGTGGAGGGATGGGGTTGGGGATATATACGTGGTGGAAGAGGTGGAGAGGATGGGTTGGGGATATATACGTGGTGGAAGTGGAGGTGGAGGGGGATATACGGGTGGAGAGGATATATACGTGGTGGAAGAGGTGGAGGGATGGATGTTGGGGATATATACGTGGTGGAAGAGGTGGATGGGTTGGGGATATATACCTGGTGGAATGGTGGAGGGATGGGTTGGGGATATATATACGTGGTGGAAGAGGTGGAGAGGGATGTGGGGATATATACGTGGTGGAAGAGGTGGAGGGATGGGTTGGGGATATATACGTGGTGGAAGAGGTGGAGGGATGGGTTGGGGATATATACGTGGTGGAAGAGGTGGAGGATGGTTGGGGATATATACGTGTGTGGAAGGATGGGGGGGATATATACGTGGATGGAAGAGGTGGAGTGGGATGTGGTGGAAGAGGTGAGGGGCTATATATACGTGGTGGAAGAGGTGGAGGGATGGGTTGGGATAATGTAGTGGTGGAAGACATGGAAGAGGGATGGATGTGTGGTGGAAAGAGGGGATATATACGTGGTGGAAGAGGTGTGTGTGTGTGTGGATGAATGAGGGCTATATACGTGATGGAAGAGGTGTGTGGGGGGTGGATGGGGGTATACGTGATGGAAGAGGTGGACAGATGAGCTGATGTGCGACAATAGTTAGAAACCAGCTCCATCAACGTAGTCCATTATTAAGCTCAGAACTTTACAGTCATCCGTCGGAGCTGCAGTTCCTAAAAGTTAAAGGCAGATCTATGTGGAATGAAATCAATTTCCTTGGGATTTTTTAACAAGACATTTCTAAACGCATCTGAAATCCAATACACCCGAAGACAGACATGGCGCCCCAGGATAATTCTTAAACGTTTGTAAAATATCAAAATACTCATATTTTAGCTTATGTGAAATAGCGTGTTTAACATGACCCTGCCTCTCACTGATGGAGTAGACAGGAAAGAGTTGCACAACCCACAAGGGAGATAACCCCCACACTGTGGACGGCAGAACCTGCCCGTTCCTGACAACCGCTTGTAACCATATTTTGAAACATAATTGAATTCTATAGGCAAGAGGAAGTATAATTTAATTAATTGGTGTCATGCAATCATAAACGCTGGCTTCTGGGAAGCAGAGCGCCCTCCTATAGGGCAGAGTTCAAGCGGTTCACAGACATAATCCATCTCCCTTCTGTAAGGCGGTTTGAACGCTGGATACTACTCAAATGTAAGACACCTTTATACCTGTGTTTGTGTACATGCTAGTACTTTTGTAGCTGAGCGCTTGTTCTTGTGTGAATTTGTATTTGTGGGGTGGGGGAAGAAATGCTGGAATGTACGTGTGTGGGGGGTGGGGTGGGGTGGTGGTGGTGGTGGTGGGGTACACACCTGGAGGGAGGGGATGGAGGTTTATACATGGGGGGAGTGGGGAGAGTGAAGGTATGTGGGGATACACGTGGAGGTAGGGGTGGGGGATGCGTAAGTGCGGGCGCAGACGGAATATTTTGGATGACGTTCTAGAAGCGTGATGTCTGGTGTCATGGTGACATTGAAGATACGGGGGAGACAACCCTCTTCACGACAGGCCTTGTCACTCAAACTCACCTGTAAATCCCGGGTGGCAGTGACACTTGTAAGTGTTCCCCAGGTCCACGCATGCGCTCTGGTTAAAGCAGGGGTTCTTCCGGCACAGTTCGACCTGTAACAAGTAGCTGAAAATATACGCTGGACAGCGTCATGCAAAGGTTGACAATACGTTCTGGGAGACGTCAAGCAGATGTTGGCCAGACACGCGGACTCTAGTCGCCTGGTGGAGAAGTACACGACAGGATAAAGCGACATGGATGTGGTCGAATGTGTTGCCTGTCCAAATGACAACTCCATTAATCATCAGACCAGAATAGAAAACCATGCTATGAAATCTAATTTACCTTTGATTTAATTTAATTTTAATACCGAGATGGCCGTCTCGGATTTCCTCAAGATGTAATTACACTGCTCGCGGGTCAACAAAGCCAGGTTGATGCAGACAGCCGTTTGTGAGGAAGATGAAATAACCGTGCAACTCTGTGTACAACACAAATCAGCAGCACCAAGTATGTGTTTGCATGCGTACAAATGCACATGAATAATTTGAAAATAGCATGACCACACAGTAAAACCAACAAATGTATCCTGTTTTGACAGCGATCCAGTTTCTTTACTTATATAAAACTTATTACTCTGATATCAACATTGCCCTCGCCTAACTCATGAATAATGCAGTCAGGGTATCACTTGTTGATGTGTTTAGTTTATGCGACGTTCTACATACCAGCACAGCCACCTTCAGTACCCCCTTCAGTACCCAACCTTAGTACCCCCTTCAACTACCTGGCGTACATAAAACAAACACTCGGGATCTATGGGAGAAAATATTTGTCACTAAACAAGGAATTCTATCACTCGCCAATTTCATAGATGTGAAGACACATACATTGACCTTGGTTTCACAGAAGTGAAGTCATCTACATTGACCCTGATTTCATACATGTGAAGACATCTACATTGACCTTGGTTTCACAGAAGTGAAGTCATCTACATTGACCCTGATTTCATACATGTGAAGACATCTACATTGACCCTGGTTTCACAGAAGTGAAGTCATCTACACTGACCCTGATTTCATACATGTGAAGACATTTACATTGACCTTGGTTTCACAGAAGTGGAGACATCCACATTGACCCTGGTTTCACACATGTGAATGCACCAATACTGACCTTGGTTTCACAGATGTGACCACTATATCCGGTCGGACAGTGACATTTGTAGCTGTCGATAAGGCTTGCGCATGCGCCGTTGTGGAGGCATGGGTTGTGGAGGCACTCGTCATACTTCTTCTCACAGTCGGCGCCATGATACCCTGGGCAGGAGAGGAGGAATTACAAGCGTAAGGATTTATCAACTTTAATGACGTCATTCTTGATATATTTTCTTTGCCAATCAGCGTTAAAGTGAGCTTGAAAAAATAACTCACTGTGTTCGCTTTGTTTTGCATTGTTTTTAACAAACAACGTTTTCGTAGCGTTGTGGGTAGGTTGTAGATTGGTAACGTCATGGCACAACGTTGTGGGTAGGTTGTAGATTGGTAACGTCATGGCACAAGGTTGTCACAACGTTAGTATTACGCCATTTTAAACGTTACGTCACAACGTACTACGAATTTTTTGTTCAGCTTGGATTCACGATAAAGTTTCTCCACTATTCCGCTGCAGCTTCAGAAATCACACGACAAAAACAACATGCGACTTGACGAACATACACTGAAGTGAATTACTGCTTTGTATCTTATTGACTGGGGAAACTATTAACGTTAAATAGAACGTTTGCATCAAGTAACTTTAACCTTGTGCGAGGTAAAAATGACGTATAACAACGTCGTGCCCCAGCGTTGTGACAACGTAAACGGGTGTCTACAAAACAACGTTGTAACAACGTGAAATTGTTAGCTGGGTGTGTACTTTTTAGATTGACATCTTCCGTATATCTATGAGTTGGTGTGTCTGCCAGACTGTATTTGTTTGTCAACGTGTTGTACCTGTCTGTATGTGCATGTGTCTATCTGCTTGTCCTTATCCGTCTTTGCGTCTGTATCAGATTGTCGTCATGTCCGTATTTGTCTTCTCGCTCTTCTGTCTGTGTCTGTCCGAGTGTCTGTTTGTCATGTGCCTGCATGTCTGTATCTGTGTGCCTGCATGTCTGTATCTGTGTGCCTGCATATCGGTATATAAGTGCCTGCATGTCTGTATCTGTGTGTCTGCATGTCTGTATTTGCCCGTCTTTATGTCTGTCCGGGTGTCTGTATCTGTGTGCCTGCATGTCTGTATCTATGTGCCTGCATGTCTGTATATATGTGCCTGCATATCTGTATTTGTCCGTCTCTATGTCTGTCCGGGTGTCTGTAAGCTTACCTGGGACGCAGTAACACTCGTATCCTGCGATTCTGTCCACGCACATGCCGCCATGTTTGCAGGGGGCGTCCGCGCACTCGTTGATGTCCACCTCGCAGTGGGAGCCCGTGTAACCATGGAGACAGGTGCACGTGAAGTGCGTGGCATTCCCCATACACGTGCCATTGTTTTTGCAAAGGTCAAGGTCACAAAGATCGTCAACCCTTTCTTCACAAAGATCCCCCCGATAACCTGTCGCAACAACAACAACGCCATGAAACAGCATCTCATTTGGTACATCTGAGAAAATTCTCATGTAATCAATATTTGTTTCAAGCAGAGTCACCTGTACCCTACGATATACATAATCATATTTCAATTTAAACACAACGCCACGCCGACGCTGCTACAGAATGGACTCTGCTTTCAGTAGAGGTATCTTATGATTATTATATTTACAGGATTTGCTCGGATGTACTTGATACTTAATGCACAAGGCTGTCTCTCGTTGTCCTGGAGCCGTGATAATGACAAACCCACAGATAGTTGACACTGTGCGGACATACACGGACATGAAACACACCGATAGTTGATACTGACGTACACGGACGTGAAACACACAGATAGTTGATACTGACATACACGGACGTGAAACACACCGATAGTTGACACTGCGGACATACACGGACGTGAAACACACCGATAGTTGACACTGATATACACGGACGTGAAACACACCGATAGTTGACACTGATACATACACGGACGTGAAACACACAGATAGTTGACACTGATATACAGGGACGAACATACACTGGACGGACGTGAAACACACAGATAGTTGACACTGTGATACATACACGGACGTGAAACACACAGATAGTTGACACTGATGTGACACGACGATATACACGGACGTAGAAACACACAGATAGTTGACACTGTGGACGTGAAACACACATAGTTGACGGACGTGAAACACACAGATAGTTGACACTGATATACACGGACGTGAAACACACAGATAGTTGACACTGATATACACGGACGTGAAACACACAGATAGTTGACACTGTGATATACACGGACGTGAAACACACAGATAGTTGACACTGATAGTTGACACTGACATACACGGACGTGAAACACACAGATAGTTGACACTGATATACACGGACGTGAAACACACAGATAGTTGACACTGTGCGGACATACACGGACGTGAAACACACCGATAGTTGACACTGTGCGGACATACACGGACGTGAAACACACAGATAGTTGACACTGATATACACGGACGTGAAACACACAGATAGTTGACACTGTGAGACATACACGGACGTGAAACACACAGATAGTTGACACTGTGCGACATACACGGACGTGAAACACACAGATAGTTGACACTGTGCGGACATACACGGACGTGAAACACACAGATAGTTGACACTGTGCGGACATACACGGACGTGAAACACACAGATAGTTGACACTGATATACACGGACGTGAAACACACAGATAGTTGACACTGTGCGGACATACACGGACGTGAAACACACAGATAGTTGACACTGACATACACGGACGTGAAACACACAGATAGTTGACACTGTGAGACATACACGGACGTGAAACACACAGATAGTTGACACTGTGAGGACATACACGGACGTGAAACACACAGATAGTTGACACTGTGCGAACATACACGGACGTGAAACACACAGATAGTTGACACTGATATACACGGACGTGAAACACACAGATAGTTGACACTGACATACACGGACGTGAAACACACAGATAGTTGACACTGATATACACGGACGTGAAACACACAGATAGTTGACACTGATATATACACGGACGTGAAACACACAGATAGTTGACACTGACGTGAAACACACAGATAGTTGACACTGATATACACGGACGTGAAACACACAGATAGTTGACACTGATATACACGGACGATAGTTGAAACACACAGATAGTTGACACTGTGCGGACATACACGGACGTGAAACACACAGATAGTTGACACTGTGAGACATACACGGACGTGAAACACACAGATAGTTGACACTGTGAGGACATACACGGACGTGAAACACACAGATAGTTGACACTGTGCGGACATACACGGACGTGAAACACACAGATAGTTGACACTGATATACACGGACGTGAAACACACAGATAGTTGACACTGATATACACGGACGTGAAACACACAGATAGTTGACACTGAGAGACATACACGGACGTGAAACACACAGATAGTTGACACTGTGAGGACATACACGGACGTGAAACACACAGATAGTTGACACTGTGAGGACATACACGGACGTGAAACACACAGATAGTTGACACTGATATACACGGACGTGAAACACACAGATAGTTGACACTGATATACACGGACGTGAAACACACAGATAGTTGACACTGATATACACGGACGTGAAACACACAGATAGTTGACACTGTGCGACATACACGGACGTGAAACACACAGATAGTTGACACTGACATACACGGACGTGAAACACACAGATAGTTGACACTGATATACACGGACGTGAAACACACATAGATAGTTGACACTGTGCGGACATACACGGACGTGAAACACACAGATAGTTGACACTGTGCGGATACACGGACGTGAAACACACAGATAGTTGACACTGATATACACGGACGTGAAACACACACACAGATAGTTGACACTGACATACACGGACGTGAAACACACAGATAGTTGACACTGATATACATACACGACGTGAAACACACAGATAGTTGACACTGATATACACGGACGTGAAACACACAGATAGTTGACACTGTGAGGACATACACGGACGTGAAACACACAGATAGTTGACACTGTACACGGACGTGAAACACATACACACTGATATACGGGACGTGAAACACACAGATAGTTGACACTGATATACACGGACGTGAAACACACAGATAGTTGACACTGATATACACGGACGTGAAACACACAGATAGTTGACACTGTGAGGACATACACGGACGTGAAACACACAGATAGTTGACACTGATATACAGGACGGACGACGTGAAACACACAGATAGTTGACACTGATATACACGGACGAAACACACAGATAGTTGACACTGTGATACATACACGGACGTGAAACACACAGATAGTTGACACTGATATACACGGACGTGAAACACACAGATAGTTGACACTGTGCGACATACGGACGAAACACACATAGGACACTGTGACATACACACGTGAAACACACAGATAGTTGACACTGACATACACGGACGTGAAACACACAGATAGTTGACACTGTGCGGACATACACGGACGTGAAACACACAGATAGTTGACACTGATACACGGACGTGAAACACACAGATAGTTGACACTGATTGACACACGGACGCGATAGACATACACGGACGTGAAACACACAGATAGTTGACACTGATATACACGGACGTGAAACACACAGATAGTTGACACTGTGGACATACACGGACGTGAAACACACAGATAGTTGACACTGATATACACGGACGTGAAACACACAGATAGTTGACACTGTGCGACATACACGGACGTGAAACACACAGATAGTTGACACTGACATACACGGACGTGAAACACACCGATAGTTGACATACACTGTTGATATATACACGGACGTGAAACACACAGATAGTTGACACTGATATACAGGGACGTGAAACACACAGATAGTTGACACTGATATACACGGACGTGAAACACACAGATAGTTGACACTGATATACACGGACGTGAAACACACAGATAGTTGACACTGATATACACGGACGTGAAACACACAGATAGTTGACACTGTGAGGACATACACGGACGTGAAACACACAGATAGTTGACACTGTGCGGACATACACGGACGTGAAACACACAGATAGTTGACACTGATATACACGGACGTGAAACACACAGATAGTTGACACTGATATACACGGACGTGAAACACACAGATAGTTGACACTGTGAGACATACACGGACGTAGTTGACACTGAATACACGGACGAAACACACAGATAGTTGACACTGATATACACGGACGTGAAACACACAGATAGTTGACACTGATATACAGGGACGTGAAACACACCGATAGTTGACACTGATATACACGGACGTGAACACACAGATAGATGAGTTGACACTGATAGTTGACACTGGACGTGAAACACACAGATAGTTGACACTGATATACACGGACGTGAAACACACAGATAGTTGACACTGATATACACGGACGTGAAACACACAGATAGTTGACACTGATATACACGGACGTGAAACACACAGATAGTTGACACTGATATACACGGACGTGAAACACACAGATAGTTGACACTGATATACACGACGTGAAACACAGATAGTTGACACTGTTGACACTGACATACACGGACGTGAAACACACAGATAGTTGACACTGTGAGACATACACGGACGTGAAACACACAGATAGTTGACACTGATATACACGGACGTGAAACACACAGATAGTTGACACTGATATACACGGACGTGAAACACACAGATAGTTGACACTGACATACACGGACGTGAAACACACAGATAGTTGACACTGATATACACGGACGTGAAACACACAGATAGTTGACACTGATATACACGGACGTGAAACACACAGATAGTTGACACTGATATACACGGACGTGAAACACACAGATAGTTGACACTGATATACACGGACGTGAAACACACCGATAGTTGACACTGACATACACGGACGTGAAACACACAGATAGTTGACACTGATATACACGGACGTGAAACACACAGATAGTTGACACTGATATACACGGACGTGAAACACACAGATAGTTGACACTGTGATATACACGGACGTGAAACACACAGATAGTTGACACTGACATACACGGACGTGAAACACACAGATAGTTGACACTGTGAGGACATACACGGACGTGAAACACACAGATAGTTGACACTGATATACACGGACGTGAAACGCACAGATAGTTGACACTGATATACACGGACGTGAAACACACCGATAGTTGACACTGACATACACGGACGTGAAACACACAGATAGTTGACACTGTGAGGACATACACGGACGTGAAACACACAGATAGTTGACACTGACATACCGAGTCTGCAGCTACACTGGAAGCCCCGCCTGTCGTTGTTCTTGTGCTCACACTGACCACCGCCGTAGCAGGGATCACTCAGGCAGGAGTCGTACTCGTCGCAGTAGTCTCCCCGGAAGTTCCCGCAGCAGGAGCAGGTGAAGTTCGCCTGAAATTAAACCATTCTGGTGACGTCATCCTATTTTTGTCACTCTTGATTGTCCGCTCTGAGCAAGCTTCAGACATGTAAGGTTATATACCTACCAACACAACATAGTATAAGAGAGGGGAATCACCTGAAGCTGTTGGGGTAACTGTCACTTCATCCAGAATCTAAACATTCTTAGTATTTGACCACTACAGGAGCATCGACAAGTCACGTGATATTTGTTCTACATTAGATAAATACACCAACCTAAATGTAGGTCCCACAGATTAACTCGGACACCGTCCTCAGTCAAGGCTAGTTAAATACCTAAAGCGACAGTAAATCCAAATAGGAAAAGCTAATATTGTTACAATAGTAGGCAGATGCGAGTTAACTCTCGCAGATGAAATTTGCTTGAACTAATTGCATTGATGAGAGACTCATAGCAGCCTGTCAGGTCAACAGTTATCTGGTAAGACGGAAGACTCAGGTCTGGTACATCGTGGGGATGACGGGTGGGTGTCCAACAATGGTCTGGTAATACTACCTCTCAGTCTCACAGTTTACATAGGTCTGGTAATACTACCTCTCAGTCTCACAGCTTACAAAGGTCTGGTAATGTTACCTCTCAGTCTCACAGCTTACAAAGGTCTGGTAATACTACCTCTCAGTCTCACAGTTTACATAGGTCTGGTAATACTACCTCTCAGTCTCACAGCTTACAATGGTCTGGTAATACTACCTCTCAGTCTCACAGCTTACAAAGGTCTGGTAATACTACCTCTCAGTCTCACAGCTTACATAGGTCTGGTAATACTACCTCTCAGTCTCACAGCTTACAATGGTCTGGTAATACTATCTCTCAGTCTCACAGCTTACAATGGTCTGGTAATACTACCTCTCAGTCTCACAGCTTACAATGGTCTGGTAATACTCTCAGTCTCAGTCTCACCTCTCAGCTTACACAATGGTCTGGTAATACTACCTCTCAGTCTCACAGCTTACAATGGTCTGGTAATACTACCTCTCAGTCTCACAGCTTACAAAGGTCTGGTAATACTACCTCTCAGTCTCACAGCTTACATAGGTCTGGTAATACTACCTCTCAGTCTCACAGCTTACAATGGTCTGGTAATACTACCTCTCAGTCTCACAGCTTACAATGGTCTGGTAATACTACCTCTCAGTCTCACAGCTTACAAAGGTCTGGTAATACTATCTCTCAGTCTCACAGCTTACAATGGTCTGGTAATACTACCTCTCAGTCTCACAGCTTACAATGGTCTGGTAATACTACCTCTCAGTCTCACAGCTTACAATGGTCTGGTAATACTACCTCTCAGTCTCACAGCTTACAATGGTCTGGTAATACTACCTCTCAGTCTCACAGCTTACAATGGTCTGGTAATACTACCTCTCAGTCTCACAGCTTACAATGGTCTGGTAATACTACCTCTCAGTCTCACAGCTTACAATAGGTCTGGTAATACTACCTCTCAGTCTCACAGCTTACAAAGATCTGGTAATACTACCTCTCAGCCCCACAGCTTACATAGGTCTGGTAATACTACCACAACCCTGATTATTAGGGGTGGGTATTGCAGAGAATTTTCATATTGCGATATATTGCGATGCGAAAGCATATATTGCGATATTTATTGCAATATATTGCAAGAAGTTTTTTTGTAACAATAAACTACTTATAATCGAGTTAACGCTTTATTTATAAAGCAGGAAAGAGTTCCTTACGTGAGTGAGTGAGTTAATATTTAACGTCACATCGGCAATATCTCAGCCATAAAGTGACGAAAACAATTTATACAATAAAAAGTGAAAACATTTTGAAGATTAAAACCTGTCGACGATGGTCAGTAAAAATACTAGAAAATCACAGATATAATATAAAACTAGCGAGCAAAGCTAAAACATTCCAAGTAAAGAAGAGTACAGTCTAAAACACGTGCTATAGATCGCCAACAAGAAAGCCATCAACACAGTGGTTACTAGTTTCAACTAGTTTCTCCACTCTCAGAAAAAGCCCTGAGCTTTTAGACAGCAACTTGACCTGGTCAGGACATATCAGAGATCATTGGCCATTAATGAGTAAATATTTAAAACATTCAGATCCAAAACATAGCGAAACACTTGAACAAAAATTAGGAACACAACTTCAAAAAGAACTTACCGATCCAGTTAATGTAAAATCTTTGAAAGGCCTTTAGAAGTGGAATGCATAAGAAAAGCAAGATTTATGGATGTCAACTTCATTCGCAATATAGAAGTTGACATCCATAAATCTTGCTTTTCTCAGTTAAATGTAATTTTCACCACGATCATTCCCACCACCACAATTGCACCACTCATCAAGGTTTCCGAGTGTTACGAAGCTTTCCGAATGCTTGTGAAAATACCGGTTTTCGATCAGCGTATGGCAATACGTATCGTTTTCATGTCTGAACCGGTTAATACCCGTAAACCGGTTATATTGCGCAGCTCTACTGATTACAGAGTTCAGGTTGTCCAGACAGACATGTACACAGCCCTGATTACAGAGTGTTGGTTGTCCAGACAGACATGTACACAGCCCTGATTACAGGGTGTTGGTTGTCCAGACACACATGTACACAGCCCTGATTACAGGGTGTTGGTTGTCCAGACACACATGTACACAACCCTGATTACAGGGTGTTGGTTGTCCAGACAGACATGTACACAGCCCTGATTACAGGGTGTTGGTTGTCCAGACACACATGTACACAGCCCTGATTACAGGGTGTTGGTTGTCCAGACACACATGTACACAGCCCTGATTACAGGGTGTTGGTTGTCCAGACAGACATGTACACAGCCCTGATTACAGGGTGTTGGTTGTCCAGACAGACATGTACACAGCCCTGATTACAGAGTGTTGGTTGTCCAGACACACATGTACACAGCCCTGATTACAGGGTGTTGGTTGTCCAGACAGAACCTGATTACAGAGACATGTACACAGCCCTGATTACAGGGTGTTGGTTGTCCAGACAGACATGTACACAGCCCTGATTACAGGGTGTTGGTTGTCCAGACACACACATGTACACAGCCTGTACACAGCCCTGATTACAGGGTGTTGGTTGTCCAGACAGACATGTACACAGCCCTGATTACAGAGTACACAGTGTTGGTTGTCCAGACACACATGTACACAACCCTGATTACAGGGTGTTGGTTGTCCAGACAGACATGTACACAGCCCTGATTACAGGGTGTTGGTTGTCCAGACAGACATGTACACAGACCCTGATTACAGAGTGTTGGTTGTCCAGACAGACATGTACACAGCCCTGATTGCAGGGTGTTGGTTGTCCAGACACACATGTACACAGCCCTTATTACAGGGTGTTGGTTGTCCAATCTCGAACACATCTCTTGCCCTGCGTATGCAATCAACCGCTCACCGACCCTACCTACCCAAATCTATAAACATTGGTTACTAGGGACGTATTCTGACTAAAGTCCCCGAAAGGTGAATACATCAATGTCGGCTACCGTGCATGTATGTCAGTCTAGATCAGCGAGTATATTTCTGACTGAACCGTTACTGGAAGGTAAATGTCTACAGACTCGGGACCACAGACGGCGCTTTCCGAATATTGCCGCAACACAACATCTAATTACTAGTTGCAATTTTGTGTGAATCACTGTTGGTCTGTCTGGTCCGCGTGGGCTGACTGAATGTAATCAGAGTGCACTTGTAGGGATGGAGGGAAGACTTGTAGGTGCGTGGACGACAATTACCGAGGTCCAGACGGGGATATTGGAATCAACAGGTATCACGGGGCTGCAACTGTTTGTCGAAAAGATCATTAATTAATGTTGCATGGCTTTTGTGTGTAGACGTCACCTGCTGCATCGTAGAACCCACGACAACACAACAACCGTAATGTCAATATTACTCTCACTACGACATTGCAACTTACATCGACACACAGGCCTCATCGTCGACAACACACGAACGTGTATGGAGTCTGACTGGAGTCTGACTGGAGTCTGACTGAGTTTATTGCCGGAGACGTGTGAGGGGGTGTCTGGAGTTGTGTGTGTATTGGCTGGCCCGACTCAGTAATGACCCATTACACAACAGTGGTAAACAATCTGCTCCAGACCAGACAATCTTGTGATTTCTCTCATGTCAACAATCCGCACTGTGGGAGAACGTGGCCATAGGATGCATTACGTCGCCTCGGCCGATGAGTTAACGGATGTGTCCAGGTGTGTCCAGGTGCGTCCAGGTGTGCCCACCTCTGTGTTGCCACTGAGTCAAGACACGTCTGCATTCACCTCATGTGACCTGAGATGACTGACGTCGTACTGGTCTGTTTGGACTAGTTTCAGTATCATATAATCATCATACATCTGGCACTACATCGTCAGGTTATACACGTAGAAACATTTGACACGCCTGTTAATACGATGCATTGGTTATCTCCCTTCAATGATGAAGGATGCTTGGCACATACGGTGAACACTGAGCTCCACGGCAGATCGTCGCGGAGGTGTGATGAGCCCAGGTTGACTCGGTCGTGTACATCACAGGGTTCTGTCAGGCACCTTTGCAGACGTCAAGTAGATAAGAAGAAAATAAACTAAGAAAAACGTCACAATTTTCAAATTCCAAGAGTCAAATTCAAAATCCATGAATTGAGCATTTTAACCTTTACTGACTGATACTCGGCATTCATGCCCATGGGCAGAGACACTAGTTGCGTTTATGAGTTTGTTTGATCAGTTTTTCCAGACACAACTTTACACTGTTCATTGTTTTTCATTGTTTACAGGTGAGGAAAGCTTCCAATGAGTGTAGCAATGCGTTGTCAACATACTCGGACCTACTGACGCTTGTTAGCACATCTCCACGTGTACCTGCTTAGGTGGCGCTTCATGGCGAGGAGTCGTTATTCCGCACCTCTTTAATCTGCACCATTCGTCTTTACGAGGATGTGCGTTGTCACTTAACGGCGTACGTTGCAGCATCCCAGACACTTTAGTCAATCTCAAAGTAAATGAGTCTGGACCAAACAATTCAGCACTTGACATCATGAATAGACCCACCTAACTGAGGACGTTGTAATGCCGTCCACGAAGACAGCGATCCTGGCCACCCCGAGTGTTTGAGAGAGTGTTTGTGTGAGTGCGTGTGCGTGTGCGTGTGCGTGCGCGTGTGAGCGCTGGTATTGTCCCATTCCAATACCTGTACTATAGTGTCAGCCCACTGAGACACCATGTCTGATCGTTTATCATCGCGACCCGTCTTAGACACAGAGTACACACTCAGAACTGACATGTTGTTGCATACCACTGATGCTGAGCGTTCAGCAGGGTGTTACAGCAACTACAGACCTTGTCAGGGTACAAACCTCCAGCCAACCGCTCTCCAAGTGGACGTCCTATCCTATTCAGTCAGAGTATAGATCACAAACATCGAAGCAGTACTTTGAGAGCTAGATTATTGGGGAGCTCGACTGCTCGCCAAAACCCTTTTTCAGAATTTGTACCGCTAACATGCCGAATTTCTTTCCTGTATACAAAAGATGCGCACAAAAACATGCTGAATCGATAACACCTGTAAGCGCGCTAATTGCCGTTCTTTCCTAGAGATTTACACTTACAACTCCCATAATGAGTTTATGTACATTTATTCATCGCAGATGAGCCACCGTCGTGCCCGTTCGACTTTGACGACCTTGGCCATGACCTATCCTGCACCGAGAAGAGCCAGCAATCTGACTGGCTATGAATAAACTATGTCCCAGCAGGAATTTGAATAATATGGAAAAATCACGATTTTACACTAACCTAGCTCCCAAAATACTGCTCCAACTTTTCAGATTTATGTATCATATTGTCGGTACATCTATTGGCTTTAAATGCTCGTATGGGAGTATATGCAGTGAGCAGTGAAAACAAACTTCTTGTGTTGACCTCGTTACGCCCATTTCCTTTTCCTTTCAATTTGTTAGTATTGAGACCCGTCAGCGCGGGTATATTTTTCTATATGTCAGTTGTCTTACGGTACAAGCTCGTCTGACATTTAATTTGCAGTCAACAGAGAATATTCGCTGTCACTATTGCAGTTACTAAACAAACACACAGATAATTACCTCCCCTTTCCTTGTGGCACAGAGACCTTGACCTTCACAGGATGGGCCGTCTCCATGGCGACAATTGTTGTCCTTCACAGTCACGTTCAAACGGAGGCCGAACTCACAGCGGATGAGGGGGTCATCGTCCATGTCCACTGCAACAATATTAGGTAGCAGTCTATCGATATGGATCGTGCAGTTCCTTACGTGACACACGTCCTCTGATAGACACACTACCTCCCCGCAGCGCTTCCTCCATTAACACACTGGCACATACTTCCCTCTGATACACACACAACCTCCCATCACCGCTTCCTCCATTAACACACTGGCACATACTTCCCTCTGATACACACTCCTCCCCTCACCGCTTCCTCCATTAACAGATCGGCGCATACTTCCTCTGATACACCTCCCTCACCGCTTCCTCCATTAACACACTGGCACATACTTCCCTCTGATACACACACTACCTCCCCTCACCGCTTCCTCCATTAACAGATCGGCGCATACATCCCTCTGATACACACACTACCTCCCCTCACCGCTTCCTCCATTAACACACTGGCACATACATCCCTCTGATACACACACACCTCCCTCACCGCTTCCTCCATTAACACACCTGGCACATACATCCCTCTGATACACACACACCTCCCTCACCGCTTCCTCCATTAACAGACCGGCACATACATCCCTCTGATACACACACTACCTCTCACCGCTCTCCATTAACACACTGGCACATACATCCTCTGATACCACACACCTCCCCTCACCGCTTCCTCCATTAACACACTGGCGCATACATCCCGCTGATACACACACTACCTCCCCTCACCGCTTCCTCCATTAACACACCGGCGCATACATCCCTCTGATACACACACTACCTCCCCATCACCGCTTCATCCATTAACACACTGGCGCATACATCCCTCTGATACACACACTACCTCCCATCACCGCTTCCTCCATTAACAGACCGGCGCATACATCCCTCTGATACACACACTACCTCCCATCACCGCTTCCTCCATTAACAGACTGGCGCATACATCCCTCTGATACACACACTACCTCCTCACCGCTTCCTCCATTAACAGACCGGCGCTGATATACATCCCTCTGATAACACACACTACCTCCCATCACCGCTTCCTCCATTAACAGACCGGCGCATACATCCTCTCTGATACACACTACTCTCCCATCACCGCTTCCATTAACAGACCGGCGCATACATCCCTCTGATACACACACTACCACCTCACCGCTTCCATTAACAGACCGGCGCATACATCCCTCTGATACACACACTACCTCACCTCACCGCTTCTCCCATTAACACACTGGCGCATACATCCCTCTGATACACAACACTACACTCCACATCACCGCTTCCCTCCATTAACACACTGGCGCATACATCCTCTGATACACACTACCTACCCCATCACCGCTTCTCCATTAACAGACTGGCATACATCCCTCTGATACACACACTACCTCCCTCACACCGCTTCCTCCATTAACACACTGGCGCATACATCCTCTGATACACACACTACCACCTCACCGCTTCCTCCATTAACACACTGGCGCATACATCCTCTGATACACACACTACCTCCACATCACCGCTTCCTCCATTAACAGACTGGCGCATACATCCTTCTCTGATACACACTACCACCCTCACCGCTTCCTCCATTAACAGACCAAGCGCATACATCCCTCTGATACACACACCACCTCCCATCACCGCTTCCTCCATTAACACACTGGCACATACATCCCTCTGATACACACTACCACCTCACCGCTTCCTCCATTAACAGACCGGCGCATACATCCCTCTGATACACACACTACCTCTCACCGCTTCCTCCATTAACACACTGGCACATACATCCCTCTGATACACACACACTACCTCCCATCACCGCTTCATCCATTAACAGACCGGATACGTATACATCCCTCTGATACACACACTACCTCCCATCACCGCTTCCTCCATTAACACACTGGCGCATACATCCTCTGATACACATACTACCTCCCATCACCGCTTCCTCCATTAACAGACCGGCACATACATCCCTCAGATACACACACTACCTCCATCACCGCTTCCTCCATTAACAGGACCGGCGCATACATCCTCTGATACACACACTACCACCTCACCGCTTCCTCCATTAACACACTGGCACATACATCCCTCTGATACACACACTACCTCCTCACCGCTTCCTCCATTAACAGACCGCGCATACATCCTCTCTGATACACACACTACCTCCCTCACCGCTTCCCATTAACAGACCGGCGCATACATCCCTCTGATACACACACTACCACCTTCACCATTCCTCCATTAACAGACCGGCGCATACATCCCTCTGATACACACACTACCTCCTCATCACTTCCTCCATTAACACACTGGCACATACATCCCTCTGATACACACACTACCTCCCTCACCGCTTCCTCCATTAACACACTGGCACATACATCCCTCTGATACACACACTACCTCCACCACCGCTTCCTCCATTAATACTGGCGCATACATCCCTCTGATACACACACTACCTCCCTCACCGCTTCCTCCATTAACACACCGGCCATACATCCCGCTGATACACACACTACCACTCATCACCGCTTCCTCCATTAACAGACCGGCGCATACATCCCTCTGATACACACACTACCACTCCTCACCGCTTCCTCCATTAACAGACCGGCGCATACATCCCTCTGATACACACACTACCTCCCTCACCGCTTCCTCCATTAACACACTGGCGCATACATCCCTCTGATACACACACTACCTCCCCTCACCGCTTCCTCCATTAACAGACCGGCGCATACATCCCTCTGATACACACACTACCTCCCATCACCGCTTCCTCCATTAACAGACCGGCGCATACATCCCTCTGATACACACACTACCACCCCTCACCGCTTCCCATTATTAACAGACCGGCGCATACATCCTCTCTGATACACACACTACCTCCTCACCGCTTCCATTCCATTAACACACTGGCACATACATCCCTCTGATACACACACTACCACTCCTCACCGCTTCCTCCATTAACACACTGGCACATACATCCCTCTGATACACACACAACCTCCCCTCACCGCTTCCTCCATTAACACACTGGCACATACATCCCTCTGATACACACACTACCTCCATCTCACTTTCCTCCATTAACACACTGGCACATACATCTCTCTGATACACACACTACCACCTCACCGCTTCCTCCATTAACACACTGGCACATACATCCCTCTGATACACACACACCTCCCCTCACCGCTTCCTCCATTAACAGACTGGCGCATACATCCCTCTGATACACACACTACCTCCCCTCACCGCTTCCTCCATTAACACACTGGCGCATACATCCCTCTGATACACACACTACCTCCCATCACCGCTTCCTCCATTAACACACTGGCACATACATCCCATCACCGCTCTGATACACACACTACCTCCCCTCACCGCTTCCTCCATTAACACACTGGCACATACATCCCTCTGATACACACACTACCACCCCTCACCGCTTCCTCCATTAACACACTGGCGCATACATCCCTCTGATACACACACTACCTCCCATCACCGCTTCCTCCATTAACACACTGGCGCATACATCCCTCTGATACACACACTACCTCCCATCACCGCTTCCTCCATTAACACACTGGCCGTACATCCCACCATTGACTCGTTGAATAGAGTTATCAGCTACCTTGACATGTATCGTTATGACGTCACTGGTGAATCTCTGTATGTTACCAACACAGTTACATGTCAGAGATATCGTGGTTTTCACACTCCCCACTGAGATGAACATGGAAGTTTCAGCTACATCAATCACCTGGTAGGTAACAACAACTGTAAACGCTGTGTTCAACGCTACTGCTACTACCACTGTTACTGCCACCACTGCTACCACTACTACCACAACTGCTAAAACAACTACCGCAGCTGTTGTTGCTGCTACAGCTACTACTACTGCTGTTACTGCAACTGCTGCTACCACTACTGTCGCTTCAGTTTGAGTATGTGAAGATGACATATCGAGGATCTGAGGGGGCAGGTGTTATTACATCATGGCTGAAGGAAGTTAAGGATCTGTTTCATCTGTTGGCAACTCAGACAGTCCCAAATATCGCTGTGTTCTAAAACACTACTCATTCATCCTAGATGTCCACATATCTGTACAGTTTGTGGATAGGTATTTCTTTGAAATCACTGGGGGCAGTGTTGGGCGGTCTTACCGATGAAATAATGAACTCCTACAGGAAGCAACTCTGCTGGAATTGCAAATGTCTGATTGCTCTCCTCTTGCAGAACGGGCAGCCCATGGCTTTTGTTGCACGTGCGGAACCCAGCCTCGTCGACTTTGAACGGCAGAATCGGGAAATTGAGGCCGTCATACTGACTCGGGGCAAATCTGGAAACAATGGAAATTGTGTTATACATAATGGATGTTCTTGAGATAGTTTTGTAGGAATTATATACGATAACAAGGGGTGGTTATGTGGAGGGTAATGGTGGGTAGTCGGGATGTGTCTCCAGGGAACACAGGAAGCGGTCCCTCACAGACACCAAGTGGCGATTACTTAATGTTCTATATTTATCTAGATGACTCCCTTCCGGGTTATGATTCTTTGCAAACAGGAAAAGTCATTTAATTCCTTTCTGATCTTGCATCCGCCATATATTCCATTCGGCCGTCCGTCTGGACGCGTGACTTCCCCGACAGTTTGAGCCTCAGACACTGCGCGTGCACACACCGGAGTGTTCACGTTCTGGCTCCTCCCCCGGGAAAGTCCAACAGCTGTTTTATGCAAGTTATCTCTGGATCATCTGCCTGGACGTCCTCCAAAATCTGTTTCCAACGTGGATAAGGGTGTCTGAGATGTCCAGTTTGTAATAGTGGGCATGACCAAAGTTACGGATCACTCACTTTATTTCACATGACTCGACTGAATCTGCCAGAGGGTATTGCAAAATCCAGTCTTCAATTCTAACATTGGTGGCTGTTCTTAACGCCGTTTGAGTTGTATATGTTGTCCACTTGTCCCATCATCATCTCAGCGTTGTCGCAGGTCGCAGTTCAAGGTCAGTAGGTCGCAGTTCAAGGCCGCAGGTCGGAGTTTTAGGTCAGTAGGTAGCAGTGTTTCCCTGAGTCGTTAATAGAAACACAACATCGCATGAAGATGGAATGAAACTGTCTCTGTGACATGTCTGTGTGGCCGTCCGTCAGTAACACTGTATTTTAATTGTCCGTCGATCGGATGATGTACGTAGCTATCTTCCAGCCAAGCGGTCACACGGTATAGAAGACGTCCTCCCTCTTCACCAGTGGTGCTCCACAGCTTCTCCAACTCTCACTCTAATCCCACTGACAGCTCCTCTATAACCTGACATTAATTACAATCTAAACAGGCAATCACTTCCAGCAGTGGCAAACACGTGATGGACAATATTTGTTTAACCTGACGCTAATGGCGAGTTACAAGCAGGAAGTGCGGCACACTGAACACACAGGGACATACTGACGTCCTCTGTAATGACGGAGTTGCGCAAACGACACACTTCTTTTTGCGTTCGGGACAGAAAGAAATCTGCAGTGGTGATGTCATTCAATTATAAACAGACACATATAGTTAAGAGGGAGGAGGGAAGTGAGATAATTGATGCCATGTTTGACAGCTTTGCTCCTTCTCTATTCACAAGGTCAGGATTAGAATAAAGAAAAGCGTAACCATTTATTCCTCATGGCTACAAGCAGTACGTGTGTCCTGGTTGTATTCAAGCGCTTGTCAGAGACGTCTTGAAATATAATTCCTTTTTTTTCAAAATCGAAAATACTTCTGTCATGTCCCCCACCGTAGTTCGATACAAGGCACTGCCTAAATGGCGAAGTAAAAACACATTTTTCTGAACAGATCGATTCCACCCACAGGCAATATTTAGTTTGTAAATCAAATAAAATCTAAACTCTCTGGTACCGCACAGAGCACATCATAATAGTGAATTGCTGAACCCAATAAATACATGCATTATTATTATATTTATTATTCATATTTTTATTATGAGAAAGCAGCCTCAAGGGACGGTCGCAAGGTGTATTGGAATGACTTGCGCCGATGTAAAATGAGGCTCGTCTGTGCAATACCCAGGGTGTACTGGCAACACTGCCTGGGGTGTACGTTCACCAATACCCCTAGTGTATTCACGACAAGGGTGTATACAAGGGTGTATAGACGATAATGCTTTGAGGGTATTCACAATCAGATAAACAGAAGGTACTCGACTGTGCTCGACTGTATAAACTGTTGCAATGTCTGAGCATAATTCCCCCAATAAGCCCTACATCTGAGAACGTGTCTCGACAGTGGACAACCAAACTGTTATATAACTGTCCTCAGTCCTCCCCCTGTGTGCTGGGAGACAGTCGGGTAGTCGTTCTGGCTCGCTATGACGTCACATGCTATGAAGCCCTGAAATAAAGTAGCTTATAATGCTTCTGAGACAACTGACCCCGCCTGGAAAGTCAGATGCAAAAAGATACATCGAGGTTGATCTAACAGAAAATGGTCAGAATTGCTGTTAATATAAGGTATCCATTTCACCAAGTCAAATCGCACGTTTTTACCGATGACAAAACTACTGTGACTGCCGCGAGTGACAAGCCTGAAAGTTATCTGCGACCCACGCCCATAATTTTATCATCGTTTTTCAACAGATCAGACTGCATCAGGCGCTCCGATTAATTCCGCAGTGTGAAGGCCGTGTCACTCAGTGCCCGACAAAACCCCTTGAAATGTAGCCTTACACCAAACAAAGCTGGTTGTCCAGGAGAAACACAACTTAAACGTGGTCTATTTTGCGCACGTAATAGTGAGTGAGTGAGTTTAGTTTTACGCTGCACTCAGCAATATTACAGCTATATGGCGGCTGTCTGTAAATAATCGAGTCCCGACCAGACAATCCTGTGATCAACAGCATGAGCATCGACCTGCGCAATTGGGAACCGATGACGTGTGTTAACCAGTCAGCGAGCCTGACCACTAGCGCACGTTATACGACATAGAAGTTCAGAACAACGAGTAGAACGCCAAACAGGTGTAATATCATCATCAGTGTTGTATTATTAATTCTGAAGTATCAATGTCAACAATTAAAGGTTAAATTTCTGTCGCATATCGGAATACATACTTATCATCTCTTTGTTGATTGCAATCATCATTTTAATGCGTTTTGTTCGTGATTCAATTAATAAATGGACACAAATAACATTAGCAATCATGTCACTTGGAGCATCGTAACCCGAGAACCGTATTCGGGGGTTTGGTAGGTGTCAATTGGAGCATCGTAACAAGAGCATTGTATCCGGGGATCAAGTAGGTGTCACTTGGAGCATCGTAACCCGAGAACCGTATCCGGGGGTTTGGTAGGTGTCAGTTGGAGCATCGTAACCCGAGAACCGTATCCGGGGATCTAGTAGGTGTCACTTGGAGCATCGTAACCCGAGAACCGTATCCAGGGATCTAGTAAGTGTCACTTGGAGCAACATATCAGGGGATCTGATAGGTATACTGTAGGTCAGCTCCCCACTGTATCTCCACTGTGACAGAGATAATGGTGTATGTTTAGACGTGACTTACTGTAGGTTAACTCCCCGCTGTATCTCCACGGGGGAAAGCTGAGGTTCAATGAAGTCGTTGGGTCGATCTGTGTAGCCAAAACAGGACTGGACGGTGTGGCACGTCAGCTGCAACAGAAATATAGGACTCTTACACCAGTACAGGACTCTAACATCAGTACAGACTCTTACATCAGTACAGGACTCTTACATTAGTACAGGACTCTTACATTAGTACAGGACTCTTACATCAGTACAGGACTCTTACATCAGTACAGGACTCTTACATCAGTACAGGACTCTTACATCAGTACAGGACTCTTACAGGACTCTCTTACATCAGTACAGGACTCTTACAGCAGTACAGGACTCTTACATCAGTACAGGACTCTTACATCAGTACAGGACTCTTACACCAGTACAGGACTCTTACAGCAGTACAGGACTCTTACAGCAGTACAGGACTCTTACAGCAGTACAGGACTCTTACATCAGTACAGGACTCTTACAGCACAGTACAGGACTCTTACACAGTACAGTACAGGACTCTTACATCAGTACAGGACTCTTACAGCAGTACAGGACTCTTACAGCAGTACAGGACTCTTACATCAGTACAGGACTCTTACATCAGTACAGGACTCTTACATCAGTACAGGACTCTTACATCAGTACAGGACTCTTACATTAGTACAGGACTCTTACAGCAGTACAGGACTCTTACAGCAGTACAGGACTCTTACAGCAGTACAGGACTCTTACATCAGTACAGGACTCTTACAGCAGTACAGGACTCTTACATCAGTACAGGACTCTTACACCAGTACAGGACTCTTACATCAGTACAGGACTCTTACAGCAGTACAGGACTCTTACATTAGTACAGGACTCTTACAGCAGTACAGCACTCTTACATCAGTACAGCACTCTTACACCAGTACAGGACTCTTACATCAGTACAGGACTCTTACACCAGTACAGGACTCTTACATTAGTACAGGACTCTTACATTAGTATAGGACTCTTACATCAGAACAGGACTCTTACATTAGTACAGGACTCTAACATCAGTACAGGACTCTTACATCAGTACAGGACTCTTACATCAGTACAGGACTCTTACAGCAGTACAGGACTCTTACATCAGTACAGGACTCTTACATCAGTACAGGACTCTTACAGCAGTACAGGACTCTTACATCAGTACAGGACTCTTACATTAGTACAGGACTCTTACATCAGTACAGGACTCTTACATCAGTACAGGACTCTTACATCAGTACAGGACTCTTACATCAGTACAGGACTCTTACATTAGTACAGGACTCTTACATTAGTACAGGACTCTTACATCAGAACAGGGCTCTTACATTAGTACAGGACTCTTACATCAGTACAGGACTCTTACATCAGTACAGGACTCTTACATTAGTATAGGACTCTTACATTAGTAAAGGACTCTTACACCAGTACAGGACTCTTACATCAGTACAGGACTCTTACACCAGTACAGGACTCTTACATCAGTACAGGACTCTTACAGCAGTACAGGACTCTTACATCAGTACAGGACTCTTACAGCAGTACAGGACTCTTACAGCAGTACAGGACTCTTACAGCAGTACAGGACTCTTACAGCAGTACAGGACTCTTACAGCAGTACAGGACTCTTACAGCAGTACAGGACTCTTACATTAGTACAGGACTCTTACATCAGTACAGCACTCTTACATCAGTACAGGACTCTTACATCAGTACAGGACTCTTACATCAGTACAGGACTCTTACACCAGTACAGGACTCTTACATTAGTATAGGACTCTTACACCAGTACAGGACTCTTACATCAGTACAGGACTCTTACATCAGTACAGGACTCTTACATCAGTACAGGACTCTTACATCAGTACAGGACTCTTACATCAGTACAGGACTCTTACATCAGTACAGGACTCTTACATCAGTACAGGACTCTTACATTAGTACAGGACTCTTACATCAGTACAGGACTCTTCAGTACAGGACTCACAGCAGTACAGGACTCTTACAGCAGTACAGGACTCTTACACCAGTACAGGACTCTTACACCAGTACAGGACTCTTACATCAGTACAGGACTCTTACAGCAGTACAGGACTCTTACATCAGTACAGGACTCTTACATCAGTACAGGACTCTTACACCAGTACAGGACTCTTACAGCAGTACAGGACTCTTACATCAGTACAGGACTCTTACATCAGTACAGGACTCTTACATCAGTACAGGACTCTTACAGCAGTACAGGACTCTTACATCAGTACAGGACTCTTACATCAGTACAGGACTCTTACATCAGTACAGGACTCAGCAGTACAGGACTCTTACATCAGTACAGGACTCTTACATCAGTACAGGACTCTTACATCAGTACAGGACTCTTACATCAGTACAGGACTCTTACATCAGTACAGGACTCTTACATCAGTACAGGACTCTTACAGCAGTACAGGACTCTTACAGCAGTACAGGACTCTTACATCAGTACAGGACTCTTACATCAGTACAGGACTCTTACATCAGTACAGGACTCTTACATTAGTACAGGACTCTTACATCAGTACAGGACTCTTACATCAGTACAGGACTCTTACATCAGTACAGGACTCTTACAGCAGTACAGGACTCTTACAGCAGTACAGGACTCTTACATTAGTACAGGACTCTTACATCAGTACAGGACTCTTACATCAGTACAGGACTCTTACAGCAGTACAGGACTCTTACATCAGTACAGGACTCTTACACCAGTACAGGACTCTTACATCAGTACAGGACTCTTACATCAGTACAGGACTCTTACAGCAGTACAGGACTCTTACATCAGTACAGGACTCTTACATCAGTACAGGACTCTTACACCAGTACAGGACTCTTACAGCAGTACAGGACTCTTACATCAGTACAGGACTCTTACATCAGTACAGGACTCTTACACCAGTACAGGACTCTTACAGCAGTACAGGACTCTTACACCAGTACAGGACTCTTACATCAGTACAGGACTCTTACATCAGTACAGGACTCTTACAGCAGTACAGGACTCTTACATCAGTACAGGACTCTTACATCAGTACAGGACTCTTACATCAGTACAGGACTCTTACATCAGTACAGGACTCTTACATCAGTACAGGACTCTTACACCAGTACAGGACTCTTACAGCAGTACAGGACTCTTACATCAGTACAGGACTCTTACATCAGTACAGGACTCTTACATCAGTACAGGACTCTTACATTAGTACAGGACTCTTACACCAGTACAGGACTATTACATCAGTACAGGACTCTTACATCAGTACAGGACTATTACACCAGTACAGGACTCTTACAGCAGTACAGGACTCTTACATTAGTACAGGACTCTTACATCAGTACAGGACTCTTACATCAGTACAGGACTCTTACAGCAGTACAGGACTCTTACATCAGTACAGGACTCTTACATCAGTACAGGACTCTTACACCAGTACAGGACTCTTACATCAGTACAGGACTCTTACATCAGTACAGGACTCTTACATCAGTACAGGACTCTTACATCAGTACAGGACTCTTACTCTTACATCAGTACAGGACTATTACAGCAGTACAGGACTCTTACAGCAGTACAGGACTCTTACATTAGTACAGGACTCTTACATCAGTACAGGACTCTTACACCAGTACAGGACTCTTACAGCAGTACAGGACTCTTACACCAGTACAGGACTCTTACATCAGTACAGGACTCTTACATCAGTACAGGACTCTTACAGCAGTACAGGACTCTTACATCAGTACAGGACTCTTACATCAGTACAGGACTCTTACAGCAGTACAGGACTCTTACACCAGTGCAGGACTCTTACAGCAGTACAGGACTCTTACATCAGTACAGGACTCTTACATCAGTACAGGACTCTTACATCAGTACAGGACTCTTACATCAGTACAGGACTCTTACACCAGTACAGGACTCTTACATCAGTACAGGATTCTTACACCAGTACAGGACTCTTACACCAGTACAGGACTCTTACACCAGTACAGGACTCTTACATCAGTACAGGACTCTTACACCAGTACAGGACTCTTACACCAGTGCAGGACTCTTACAGCAGTACAGGACTCTTACATCAGTACAGGACTCTTACAGCAGTACAGCACTCTTATATCAGTACAGCACTCTTATATCAGTACAGGACTCTTACATCAGTACAGGACTCTTACATCAGTACAGGACTCTTACATCAGTACAGGACTCTTACAGCAGTACAGGACTCTTACATCAGTATAGGACTCTTACATCAGTACAGGACTCTTACATCAGTACAGGACTCTTACATCAGTACAGGACTCTTACATCAGTACAGGACTCTTACAGCAGTACAGGACTCTTACATCAGTACAGGACTCTTACATCAGTACAGGACTCTTACACCAGTACAGGACTCTTACATCAGTACAGGACTCTTACAGCAGTACAGGACTCTTACAGCAGTACAGGACTCTTACACCAGTACAGGACTCTTACAGCAGTACAGGACTCTTACAGCAGTACAGGACTCTTACAGCAGTACAGGACTCTTACATCAGTACAGGACTCTTACAGCAGTACAGGACTCTTACAGCAGTACAGGACTCTTACAGGACTCTTACATCAGTACAGGACTCTTACATCAGTACAGGACTCTTACAGCAGTACAGGACTCTTACAGCAGTACAGGACTCTTACATCAGTACAGGACTCTTACATCAGTACAGGACTCTTACATCAGTACAGGACTCTTACAGCAGTACAGGACTCTTACATCAGTACAGGACTCTTACAGCAGTACAGGACTCTTACATCAGTACAGGACTCTTACATCAGTACAGGACTCTTACATCAGTACAGGACTCTTACATCAGTACAGGACTCTTACATCAGTACAGGACTCTTACATCAGTACAGGACTCTTACATCAGTACAGGACTCTTACATCAGTACAGGACTCTTACATCAGTACAGGACTCTTACAGCAGTACAGGACTCTTACAGCAGTACAGGACTCTTACATCAGTACAGGACTCTTACAGCAGTACAGGACTCTTACAGCAGTACA